TATTTTCATTTTCTTTTTTGTTAGAATTTTGAAAGATTAAAATGGGGTCTTGCCCCACAGTCCTCTAGTCCTCCAGCTGGCACCTGCTTTTATCAATTCCAGCTGAGGTCAAAGCCAGTCCACTCCTCTGTCTTTAGACACAGCAAAAAGTGACCCTAAAATACTAAATACTTTTACTAAATACTGGTTTTTGGGTTTTTTTTTTCCTTAAGATCTAAAATGTGTTTATTTAAATGTAAGATATGGTTTTGTTGATTTATATCTACCATTTTCTCACTAAGTCAGTAACTACTAAAGGTCAAACCCAACAGTTGTTACTTCTTCACAACAACCTCTTTATTCCATTTGATATCATCTTTTTCTAAAACTGGAGTCTGAGAAAATGGAAAGTCTGTAAATTAGGAAACAAACTAATTATCTGTCTGTTGTACAAGGCAATAACCCAAGGCCCACACTGCTAATAATGAAGCACTCAGCACAGAAGTTGGCTGAATCATTATCTCACACAAATAATGCTCTAATGGTGTTATTTACTAAACCTGTAAGTAACTAAAGAACAAAAAAAGGTCTCCAAATGATTGGTGTTATATAAACAAGAAAGAATTATGATTTAAGAACTAGAATCCCAAGGTGTGATCTATGGCTGAGGTTCTCTGCAGTCCAAAACATAATGATCACATCAAGTTCTCTGAATTCCAATGAAATTCACAATCACCACTAAGGGGAATCAAAAATATCCTTGGACTGCTTATTCCTACAGAGGTTCAAAGTTACACGTTATAATTTTTTTTTTTTTTAATTCTGCTCAGTAAAAAAGACCAAATTAATGCAAAAACAAGAACAGGCATCTTTTGTGTTGACGTTCATGTCATTTTAATGGGCTGGGGTTTTCAGCCTGCTCTGCACAGCTATTTGGGAAGTTCATTTCATAATTAGTACTCAATAACTTCTGACTGTCAGAGAAGGATATGATAATGCAGGAAGAAAAAGATCTGGAGGATAGTCATCTGTTTAATGTTCAGATAATTAAGAGTGTTGGACAAATGACTATCTGCTTGATTTATTCCTTCTTTCAAACACTTTAAGTAAATTGTGGTTAACATAGACCAGTTCTGACAGTTAAAAATATATTTCCTTTCAGAAAATATGAGGCAATTGTTCCAATGCTGGAGTTCTGAATGAAACAGTGGTAATGATTTTGGAGAAGAAGGTATTGAGGTACAAACCTCCCAAGAGCAGAAAATGTAACTGGGGCATTTTTAAACTTTTATACATTGCTGTTCTTTTTGTTTCTTATAGTTCTTTTTCTGTATATATAGAAAAAAAAAAATAAGTTCTGGCCATGAAATCAATAGTCTGATTCACATTGTTTCCAGTGTGCTGAATTCCACCAAGTTCCTTTTTAATCTCACATTCTTATTTTTCTACAAGATGTGGACTTGGAAAAGACAGAAGACTACTCCCTTTTCTCCTGTCAGTCATCCTGCAGTTCAGAAATGCCAAAAACTGGGAAAGTTCTCCAAAGTGACTTAGAGGACAAGCTACAAAAGAACATTTTGTCTTCAGCAAGGTTTTCACCTGACTTTTTCCCTTCCTTGAGCTAAGCAAACCAGATTATTGGAATTTACAAACACTCCCACTCTTGCATGACGATGGTGCTGCTCCCCAGCACCACCTTCAAGCAGCTGCCACAGATCCTGGAGGATATTTCCCCCTGTTATTCAATCTTCCTGTGGAAGGCAACCATCTGTGAAGCATTCTCCTGGCCACCTGCTGCCCCAGCCAGCTGTTCTGGCTGCACGCTGCAGCTGCCACCTGTGACAGCAGCTAAAAGCCAAAAACACTCAAGCAGGAGGGAAACCAACTGGCAGGAAGCCAGGTGGATTAAAGCTCCAGCACAAAAGCTGACAAAAACCCACCTGTGTGTGAAACATCAAGTAGTAAAGAGAAAAGCACTGGCTTTCAGTGAGCAGAAGGGCCCAAAAGGGCTCAGCAGGTTTCTTTCCCCTCAAGCAACTTTTTGCGCTTTGCTCGGAACAGCAAAAAAATAACTTGACACCAAGGCTCCAGGGAATGGGGAAACTTGCTCCAGCCTTCTTGCCTGCCAGGAGCTCTGGTGGGACTGGCATCAGAGAGAAGGTCTGGAAGGTATTGGGATAATTCTCCATGTCTCATGGACATTGGGAAGTCCTGAAATAAGGTTAAAACGGGATTTAAGTGGTACACTACTCCTGTGCTGGCACAGCATGCATGGGCAAATTTTGTATCCTTGGGAAGGCATTCAGAAAGTACTAATGAGGAGGTAAAACACTGATGGATTCAAAGGCCCAGATTCCTCAAGAATTTAGAGAACAGAAAAGACACAAATGATAAGAGAAAACCCAACCATTCAAACAGGGTGTAAGATCCTTCTCAATAGCAGAATTAATGGAATAAATCTGCAACAGATACGAGCAAAGAACAGACTGAAACTATCCTGACTGACAACAGCTGAAGGTATGTCACAAGAATAAAAATTCTCTCTGTTCTGTGCACCTTTGCCAGTTACTGCCCCATAATTTTAAATAAAATCTTCAGACAAACTTATCACTGCTTGATGAAGAAATTAACAATTTGTTATCCAACATTAATATGAAAAAAGTGATGAGATGGTACACCGCTGTTGGGTAGCTGCTTATCTCTGACCTACAGGGAAATTGAGTCAATTTGAAATAACTGACATCTTATTATAAATAGTATTTGTCATTAAAATAAGTTACACTGCCCACAGTCACCACCATTTCTAGCAATTCCTAAATTACAATATTATTGTAAAACATGGAAGTTCACATCAGTTGAATTTTCCCCTGTGGCTCTGATACCACTTCAGCAGTCTTCTATATTGCATTAGACTTCTTTCCCAAGTTTTATTTTGGTCAGGTACAGTGTGCACATTGTTACATTATTTAACAGTATTTGTATTATAATGTCAATCATAACAAAACAAACAAAAAAACTTGTTATTATAGGGAGTTGTTTTTACCAATCCTTGCTTCTTGATAGCTAATTTGGTAATGAAACAGAATGTGACACTTGAGAATAAAATGTAACCTAATCACATTTCTTAAAAGAAGTTATGAAGTAAGTTCAATGATTTAATAATGTGGGGAGAACATGTGTGCATGTTCTCCCCACATTATTAAATCATTGAACTTCTTTAAAAGTCTCTTTACAAATAAGTGGAAGAAAACCTCTCCTTTCCCTTTTTTTATAATGACTGAAATTCAATTTCTGAAGGAAATACTTTGTTAATTATTTAAGACTTTATTAATAAAAGCCATAAAAATACTGGTAAACTTTGTAAATAGAATTTATGGGTTGGGAAACTCTTTTAAAACACAGGAGCAGGAATATGAGTAATTACATAAATTGGAATGTTAGGTAGAAAACAGTTTACTACTGAAGAACAGGGTGGAGCAGAGAAACCAAAAAACCCTGAAGTGTAGATGGTGAATACAAGCACCAAATTTTAAGAGCCACATTTAAATTCTTAGTTTAGCTTGAAACATATGAACTAAGCACCTAAATAAAAGAGGTACCCCAGCACGAGCAGAGCTACTACCAGCTGAAAGGCAGAGCATACAGTGAGAAATAACCTACCTGATGTAGATGTAGTTACTCTATACATAAAGCTGTGTATAAAATAAATTTATTTCACCACTTTACATTGCACTGTGCCAGATAAACATATATATTTAGGATGGAATAACTGCTCTGTATTACCCAAGGTTATGATATTAGACAGTTTGGGCAAAACTTGGGGAAAAACAGGGACTTGCACTGGGAAGTAAAGAGGAAGAAGACTGCAGTCATTTTTCTTCTGAGAAGAAGAGAGGAGTTAAAGAAAACACAGGCAAACTAATGATATTCCCCTGTCCACTGAACCCTAGATATAATTTCTAATTTTACAAGAAAACTACCAGCACTGAGGGCATGTTTAATACTCCAGACTGGATATTTTATATTCAGTATGAATAAGTTTGATATTAGTAGAAATTGTCTCAGGCATATTTCAGGCACTGTCGAAAAATGGCTGGCTAAATGTGGTTCCTCTTTATTTGAAAGATATGCTCATTAAGCACATTATCCTACCCATTTCAGTAAAACAAACACATTAATAATTCTGTTTTATCCCCACTAACACTTCCAGAGACCATGCAGGTATGAAAGTATTATTTATGCTCTTCCCAACCCCACAGTTCATCAACTAAATTAATACATTTCAAATTGTTTTCTTTCCTTTGCAAGGAGGAAAGCTTTGGTTTAAGGGATCTGAACCAGTTGAACTGCAAATGAAAGCACAGTTCATCCATCATTACTAAATATGGGGGGGGAAAAAGAAGAAGAAAACACACAAGAGTTTGATTTTCAGATCACAGGGCAGATGTTGAGCCATCAAAAAGCCACATTCTTTCTCAGAGAGCCTTGAGGTAACAGCACAGCAAACAGAATAATTCAATAATACAATAAGAGGACCCCTTATGTTGGAGGTAGGTGGTGAATGGCAATTTCTGCCAGGCCTGGTACATCTGCACAATTATGAACAGGAACTGTTGGAAACTCCATCACAAGTCAGACTGATATAAAAATGGCTAAGACATACATTTTGACACACATGACAACCTCAGGAAAGGTCAGGGGAATCACAAAAGCAGCTAGGCTCGTTTGAAAGTGAACCAATTGTAAATTTTGGGGAAGGCTACTTTTGGCTCAAAGAAAGAAAATGCTGAAAAACCAAAGGGCAGAACTTCCCGCTCTTCCCCCTGCCCAGGGCCAGGATGAAGGCAGAGATAATTGAGTCTTTTATACAAGTTTCCCATACCCAGTGCTGAAAGGGAAGAGCAAAACTTAGCATTTCTGTTGATTTTAAACCAAGAGGGTTTATCACCAATGGAATCATGGATAAATTTCACTATGACAGAAAATTACTGTAATGGCAAAAATGACTGTAATGGTCTTACCAGTAAAGCTGATGGGCTACTTGGATGCTCTGAAGAGAACGACTCAGCAGGAGTTTCACCAGAGGGCTTTCAAGACTCCACTCAAACTTGAGCACCTTGAAAAAATTATAATAAAAATCAATTTTTTGCTGGCTTTGGTGTCTTCCCTTCATAATAGAAAGCACCTAGTGCTTAGTTTGAACAAAGCAATCAATAGAGAGTTTGCTCTGGCAATGCAATGAGCAGAGAAGCTTCAGTTCCCAAGGATCTACCACCATCTCTAAGACAGACAGACACCACCCTAGTTCTGCGTTAATAACCATATAAATATGCAGCTTGTCTCCCCCCACTTAAAACTATCACTGCCATATTTAATTTTTTATCTGATTATCTGGTTTGGAAAATAAACTTATTTTAGAACAGAAGCTGAGGAAGGTGAAAGATCACAGCAGTTTATGAATGCTGTAAAGCTGTGAAGGTTCTGCTGCCTCTCAGTAGTGGATTACATAAATAAATTCATAAATGCACAGAGAGATATCTATCTAGATAAGCAGATATCACAAACACAGAAAGAACCCCTGAGAAACTCTGCACTGTGGATAGAAGGTCATCCATATGCACAGGGCTACCAAGTGAGGGGATAAAGCTCCCAAAATTCCTGCTCAGCAGCAGCTCAGGACCTATTCAATCACCAAGTGCTTTGGAAGCAGCGATGCCATAACTTGTAAAACATTAATTTCCAGTGAAATGCAGTATACATCTCTAAAGAGACAATTGCACACCAAATGTCCACTCCACTCTGTGTTGACAGTGGTTTGCTCAGTATATGTGGTATTAAAATCCCAGTGATTAAAAACTCAGATATTAAAAATGTTGCAGCAACAGTATTTCCTTCCTTGACTGCAATGAAGCCCTGTCACCTGAACAGAATTTCTCTTGTTCAGATGCACTTTTACTTGCCTTTGTTACTTGAAAATGCCTTCATGTGCTATCTGTAAAAGCCCAATCAAAATGCCAAAACAATTCCATGCTCCAAAGCTGGAAACAGTCTTTCCCTCAGCTCTGTTTTTAACCACTCATTGCATCAGTGTCATTGACAAGACTTATTTGTTCCCGTTACAATGTCTTAACCAACCTGAAAGCATCAAAAATATTTAATGAAATTATTGATCTGGACTGAAGGCTTCCTTGGCTATCAATTCCTTCCTTACCTGAACCAGCTGTGGGAGGTATTCTAACAATTCATCATTTGACACATTTTCTAGTTGTTGGACTGCTGCCCTGCGAATATCTTGATCTGGAAAACTAGAGAAAAAACAAATAGGCATCATTAAGAGGTACCAGAGCACTGCAACTCTCCTGAGCTCTCACTGATATAAAATGTTAGAAAACCTGATTTTCTCTCAAAATGGAACAGGGAAAAAAAAATCATTAAATTTGCTTTATTGTAACAAGAAACATACTACAGATGACTTAATTGGATTGACTGTTACAGTGCCACACAGGGGAATAAAAAAACCAAAAAGCTGATCTTCAAATAACTTTTTGAATTTGAAATAGCACGTATTGTAATTTCTCAAAATATAAAGCAAATTACAGATCTCTTGCTGCTCTTTCTTACCTGAAATAGGAAATTTCTGAGCCATGTGAACTTTCAATAGTCACTTGAAGACTTCATTTGTTCTGAGCAACAATACAAAAGCTTTAAATTTCCCATACAAAAAGGATTCATGCAGTATAATTTATTCCCAAATCAGCTCTTCTGTTTTCTGTCATAACACAATCAAAAATACTTTTTAAACAAAAGCAATTTTAAGTTGAAAACATGGGCTGGGTATTTGTAGGATTTTATTATGCGAAATTTGGTAAAAAATTAACACCTTCCTGAGAAAGGCTCCAAGTCAGTGAAACATATTTCTGATGAGAAAATGTTTGAGAACTCAGCATAAGCCACATTCTCAACTAATTCTGGCTGAAACCAGGGTGGCTGTAGCCTGGTATAGATTTTGTGATGCAGCTCTCATCATAAAATTGATAAAAGAGGAAAACACAGTGTGGCAGCAGTGATAATGCAGAAAAAGAAGGCTGGATAATATAGATGGTAAAAACATTTTCCTTTGAAAGGGAATGAAATTTTGATGTAACCTGATTGATCGAAACTGACTCTTAACAGAACATTTTCTCTCTTTCAAGAGAAAAGGATAGAAAGTATACAATGTCTCTTTTAATATTTGAAAGCCAAAAGATAATCTTTTAAGGCCTTATTTTGAAAATATAAAAGTAATTTCTACCTTTTCACGTTTTGTAATTGTGACATTAATCATTACAGTTTGGGCTCAATGATCTCAGAAGTTTTTTCCAACCTCAATGATTCTATGATTTTGTACACAGGGAATTTCACATCCACAGGAGTTGCCTAGATTGGCTCAAATTTAGCTGATTTGCTCTGGTTCTGCTTTAACAAGGAAAGGAAAGATGTGCTCTTCCATGTTTGTCTGCTATGTGGTGTCACCCTTTTTTGTGTTCCAGTACCTGCCTGTTGGCCATTGCCATCCAAAGAATATTTCCTGTCTTCTCTTGAGGCAAACTGGAAATTTTCTGGAGACCTTTCAGTTACCAGGGGTGCAAGAAGGGTCAGCTCTGCCCAAGGGGCAGAAATGCCCTCAAACAGCACCACAATGAACTGGACACTGCTCAGAAGAGTTGGTGGGCTTTGATCCAGTTCCCTGAGGGTGAGCACCTGCCCCACAAAAGGCAGAGAATCCCTACCCTGTGAACTGATGTGGCCTTTAGGCTCCTGGGAGAGATCTCTGATTTGGCAGTCTAGGCACATAAAAAAAGAAAAAAAAAAAAAAAAGATGACTAAAGGACAAGAGTTATCCTGTCAATTCACCCTGAGGAAAGTCCTTTGAAATCAGACCCTTCATGCATGGCAGGAGATGTCACAGGCCAACAGTGTCACTGCTTCAAGGGCTCAGCACAAAACCAGGCTGCTCTCTGCCCACCTTCCCACCCAGCACCTTTTGCCAATAACATAGAAATAAAACCTGAAGTGAAACAGAGGAGGCAGTACCACATTTGCAGCAATGACTGCTTGCTGATATCAAGATAAAAAGAGAAGAAATTGTAAAGCTTGGTGCTCGGCAGTATAATGGCACCTGCTGCTTGAATCTTGAGCTTCTAAGTTCAATAAAAGCAGCTGAAGCAAAACAGTATGTACACTGTGGTCAGAGAATTAACTAGAGGCCAGCTAATAAAAATGGGGATCTTTGATTAGGGAAAAAAAAAAAATCAACAGGTGGAAAGTTGGACTTAAAGAAATTATTTTCAACCATTTACACAACTTGCAATACTTTCCAATACCTTTTAGCAATTTGACTCAGGTCTGGTTTTACTATTTTGTTTGTCTGTTATGCCACATATTTAATTATGTTTCTAATATGGTTTATAATTCTTTGTATAATGCCGAGAGGGCCTTGATGGGGAGAGGAGGAATGTATCATAAATAAATTATCATCCTAGGCCCAAATTAGATCTTTGCAAGGCTTATTTTTATAACTTATTTATTCTAGACAACCTATTAGGAATGAGAAGTTGTTACTTTAATATTCACATAGCTATTTAGAACAAAACATATTTGAAGGAGGCCTATATATTAAACAAAATAATCCCTTCCATATCATCCTATTTTCTAATTATGCAATTGCTCCAAAGGCTTGTGTGCCAAGCATGTGTAGATAATATGGAAATGAGTCTTTCCCTTCCCCTTCTTGCCTAGTTCAACAGGCTACTGAACAGTGAAATACACTCTACACAGGCACAAGGCCAAGCAGAAAAATGTTTTTACTTAGTTACAGCTTGTCCTTATCAACAGCCAAGATCTCAACTCATGCAATGCCATGAGGACACAAACTCCTCTTTTTTTTTTCAAGCTAGACAAAGAACAAGAAAGTTATTTTAATCGAAATTTCCAGAAAATTCAGCAGCTAACATTTGATTTATTTAGAATTTATCTGATGTAAATCAAAACCAGGGCTGTGTCTAAGTCACCAGAGGCAGGGCCAGGAGATGTGATTAGGGAACAACAGGCAGTGAGGTGAAATACCTGCAGGGTGGTTTGCTTCAGGAAACATGGGTCTTGTCATTCTTTTTCAATGAGATTTCAGTAATTTGTTGGTTTTGGTGACTAAACTGTTTCCCTCAGCTTGTAAATCTTGAGGTCAGCCTGAGGCTTAGCTCAGTCTTTTGAATAGAATAGACAATTAGCCTATTTTTTTAACTACCTGACAATTTGTTAATCCCTAGATGCAATATCCATTGCTTTTTCTGAATTTCAGTGTTGTTCAGGGCCACAGGTACAAGTGCAATATTGAATTTGTATTTAAATATTGTACACAGGCACAATATTTAATTCTATTTGTTTTCCCCCTTACATTTGTATTTGAGCAAGCATTTAACAGCCTCAGAAACATTGGAGTTACAGGAAATTCTCATGAACTCCACTAGTACTACATGATGCTATGCTATTCACACTTGCATACACCAGTTTATTTGCTGGAAGTCAATAAAAGGGGATAGTTTAGAAGCAAATCTGAGTTAAAAAAAATCCTTTCACATGCCTGGAAACTGTGCCATCTTGTAGTCTCGTACTTCATTAGGGCTGGAAGGGTTTTTTTCCAGTGAATAATCTTGCAAATGTTTCAGTTGCATCAAATCTTATTTTAGTAATCCATAAATTAGTCTTGATTAGAGGACAAAATTAATTGGTTTTTTGACTCTGACTCAATGCAAGAGAAATCACTTCAGGCCTAAGAAAAAGAGCTTTATATTTTGGATATTACAGGGGAGCTGATTTCCAGGGCTTGCTGCAATGAACATGCAATTATTTATTTACACATGCTGAAAACTCTGAAAGCAGAGAAGTGAGACAACAAATTCAATATTCCAGTCTTTAAGGGGACATTCCTCAGAAATAGAAGCTCATCCTTACCCCAGTCTGTCTACATCAGATCAATTTGTGGAAGGATTTGAACTGACAGAATTCTTGGCTGTGGCTTCAGAGAGGCATGACCTTCAAGGACTCCTCTTCCTAACTGCTTTATGGTTGTCACCAAAATATCTGGGAATTTAGCTAAAAAAACTTAGTTTAAAATGAAATCTTTTAACAAAGCTTGTAAGATTCTCTTATTGCATAGTTTCAAAATGGTAACTGTCATCCAGGTTTAGGTTTCCACTCACTTATAGTTGTTTCTTTTGTTTTTTTCCCCTCAAGAAGCAACTTATTGGTCAATAAATACTTCACTGAATAAAACCACAGTGTTGTGGTTCTCGTCTCTGTGACTAGAACCCAAGTGTTCCCAATTTTCTTTGCCTGGCTGCATTGTAATATTTTGCAGCTTTCTTTTGGCCAATTTAACTGTTCTCTCTTAAAGCAATGAGTACTCCACAACAGAGATCATGGCCTCTTACATATTTGTTCCAGGTTTACACACATCAGAAACATCACAAGCTCTATCAAAAAATAAATAATATGTAAATTATAGTTGTTGAGTTTAGTCCTCAGCTACAGGTCACACAGTGCAGGACTTCAAACGTCCCCTTCACAGCCTGTCTCACAATTTGGATTCTCCATAAGTTAGGAAATTGCTTTTCTCTCATTAAGCACTCATCTGCTTAAACTCAACACCCTTTTTGCAGTTTTGTTCTCTGCATGATGCCAGTGATTGACAGCCACTTGTTTTTTAACTTCTAAGTAGATTATTAGATCTCCCTTGAGACTTAAAGATGTTTTTGTGACAGTTGAATTTTGAGCTGGGTGAGCATAGATTACAATTTGCTTTAGAAATAAGGAAAACTTTCAGTCTTTGATTCTTTTCATAGAGATAGCCAGTCAGGGGCTATTTGTCTAGCTGTACCTTTCAGCTAAATCAGATTCAAACAGAAAACTAAATACTGCTGAGGAGTCCTGTGGATCTGTAAAATTCTCTTGAGATTTTAGCATGTGCCAGAGGTGAGCTGACTGTAAATGAGAAATAGATGTGTATTTCATTTTTAACAGTTTCACTATTCTAATTTTATTGTGCTGCCTCAAATAGCCCTGTGCTGGAATACATTTGTCAGGTAAGTGAAACTGCTCAGTTCTCTACATTTTCTGGCACATGATGATCTCTGAAGAGAACAATGTAGCCTTTCATAGGCCTTTTTCAAGGTAGAGGCTTATATCATTGCACTTATCTCTGCATTTCTCTTCACATTTTAAGTTCTGTTGCATTTTCAAAACAGAAAAATTTCAGTCCATGAAACAA